TTCATTTAAAGTGAGATAGTAGAATTAGTATTCAAGGCTTCATTTAAAGTGAGATAGTAGAATTAGTATTCAGTATAAGACGTAGTACAGTGAGAAGCTTACTTACGAAAGAAATGTACGTTTAAATAAAGAACGCCAATGATGTAGATAAATTGCCAAAAAATGATAACAGAACATAATTTCTTATAGTAGCTAAGAAATAATAATGTTATGAACATTACCATAGAAATGAAAAGACTGCACCGCTATATAGTTTGTCGTTCTTTTATTTACTATTTCTAAGTGTGATTATTTCTGAAATATCATAAAAGTATTTATATTGATTGCCCTGTTGAAAAAGTATTTATAGACCAAAATTGATAAATAATTTATATATACGCCATTTTCGGGGCCATTATGCTCAAGCTATTTCTTATAAAGTGAGTATTAAATAGCAATATCAATTTATCAAATGTAAATGTTATTCAGTCTATTTTTAGATGATCTATTTTTGCTTTTTGATTAATTTTTTTCCTTCATTTGTTAGCAGAAATTAATCGAACCCCCGTTTTGATTTAGCTCAAAGAGAATTAGTTTCAGGTTTTAATATTGAATATAGAGAACTAGAATTTGCTTATAAATTAGAAGAATTAGAAGAAATTAGGAGAATATAATTTTTGGCTGATAATAACTTTATAATTTTACACATTTTATTTATGAGAGGATGCGGTTTTTTTGCCGGATGATTTTCTGCCATCTTTCTGTCCCCCATTCTGTGGTCTTATATATCTTCTATATTCCATGCATTTCCAAGGATTCCGGACTGAAGATAGCGTAATCTTTAGATTCTTCTATTGGAGCTAAATTAACACCATTAAGGAAGTTCTGCAAAAACTAAAACGGATGGTGATGGCATGATCTTGCAAGCTTTCTGGTCGCCAGTTTCGGTCGATATTTTTTAAGAGCCTGCCTGCTATGATCTTATTAGTCTTTTACAGCGGGTGTCTATGTCAGTCAATGCTTTGCCAGGCGATAGGAGCTCATAATGACACTTCAAATGGTTTAGAACGGTCTGGTGGTAAATGTTTCGTTGCTTGGCGATGCCATAGCCACTCACACGTTGATCTTGCTCGGCTTCCGCAATAATTTAATCAATTTTAGCGCATCGATTACCATACAAATATCACAATATATATGACCTTAAAGCCATCTAGCTGGAAAAAAAACGCTCATTACGTTTTCAGCAAATAAATAGATAATTTCACATATATATATATATATTCCGCAGATGGTCTGCATTATTGTATTTTTCGCTTAGATTTACATATTGTTACGCCTGGATTGTACGTACATAAGCAACCCCTGCTAGTCTACATTTTGTACGCTTTTTTAGGTTTAAAATGAAAAAAAAAAAACTAAAGTGTTCAAACGCGTAAGTTAACGACGAACTAACTGCTAGATTAGTGTCACTGCTTCAAAACAAGCACATTTTTCTGATGTCCACCACAGAATCGTTAGAATGTCTTTGCTATACCGCTCTTTGCCTAATCTTACTAACTCGTACCTCCTTATGTTTGTTCACAACTTTCTTGAGCTCGACTGGAGCCTTCATCATTTATCGTCATTAATATTGTTTCGTGCTGGCTTCCAAGCGTACCCTTTCCTCACTGTTTACTCGATGTAAGTATACTTCAAGGACTTCACGCCAACCCTGCGTCGGCATCACCTCTGCCATCATCAAGCGGACTATTACCATAGTCGTTATTTTTGCTAAACTAATTATTAGTTTTTTTTTTCATTTGGGAATTCGTAATACTGACACTGTTCGCACGCAGCGTATCATTTCCGTTCGCCGGCAATCATAAACAGTTGCGTGTTACGTCGAGGTACTGTGTACGTTCGTTCCGTGCTCTAATGCCGCCGGGTGGTTTGTCGACATCGAGGACGTCGTCCAAAACGATCAATCTTAAATTGCAATTGGAAACACTTACCAAACAAAACGGACCCGGTGACCAGCGCTAGACGGCTGGCCGCTTGTTGAAAGGCTTGCACACGGACGATGCTGCCGTTGCGCCTTACGTGAATAAACCAGACGTACGTTCTCGGTCACAACTTCGTTCCGATAGAAAGACATGAGATAAAACGACAAACGAAAATATTGATTTACACGACTAGGCGATTTCTGGATTGGCAGTAGGGACGTCGTTATTTAGCTTGCAATTTCTTTACTGTTGTAACATTTGGGCGTATGCATCTTTTAATATAGATACGTTTTTTGACGTTTTGTGCATAGACGATCGCGGTAACAGTAAGCACGATTGCATTGGCTAAATCCTAATTTTTGGGAAAACCAAAGTATGTTTATTCTCTGTAACTTGACGTCACAGACATGTGTGTTTTAAGCCAGCCGTCAGTATATATAAACGCGAATTGGCTTAAGCTCAATAGAAAACAGCTCAGTCGAAGGGGTGGACTCGTAAAGGTCCACAATATGGCGTGTATGTCCTCGTTTTTTGCTCTTTTCACGTGCTTTAAATGGCGCACATCGTAGGAAACTTGCACCTCAATATGTGACCGCCAAAGTAGTCATATCGACGAGCACTTGATCAGCCTCGATCGTAACGCCGTGCAATTTGGATGTCTTCAAAATGTATTTGTGCATTCACGTTACACGTAAACACTCAGAAACTGCTGGCAGCCGTTAACATCAACAACACGTACAGCGTCTCCAGGCCTAAAGTTTCTATTCTGTGTATGTCGCAAGTTCCTTGAGCGTGCTTATACCGAGTAGAAGAGAATGATGATTTCGGGGCCAAGCTGTTCAACGCCAAATAAGTAAACAGTTACTAATGCCTTGTGTTTATTATTTTGTTAACCGTACTTAGTTAGAAGAATAGATTTAACTTCAAAATCGAGTAAAATTTATGCCTTTGACGAGGCAGAGTTTTTTGAAAGAGTTAGATAGAGTTGTGGTCAAGGTAAAGTCACGTAGGGCTCTGCTGTGGCGACGACTTCAGAGGATGCCCATCTAACAGACACTTCGGAACAATGTCGAAGGGGCTTACTCCAATGCTGCGTGGACTGGTGGAAACCTCTGCGTCCGTAACAGCGTTCAGGCTATATACACTTATTCGGGATGTTATGATCACGTTCCGGTGGTTCAGTCGTGCATCTTAGAGGTGGGAATGTTCACTAGCTCCGCTCGATACTACGAATCCATCCATCCATCCATCCAGCAAGCGGTATAAGCCAATTTTTGCTTCTTTACACCTGAATCAGCCTCGAAACAAAAAACGACCGACCTGTAGCAGTTATATTCACTTACCTCTACTATAAAATAATGCGCAGCAACAATAGGTGCTATTTGCTTGGGAAAACGTACGCACTAGTGGCAACGCGTCACAATATCGCGATACCCCGCAGCCTGGAAACTCTAGATTAAATCAAGTTGACCCAGACGCATCCATGCAACCGTAATACTTTTCAAAAAGAAGTTGAATTTTCACTCAGCCGTATAGGTCACTGTTACGCAATGGTTCAAAAAACTATGAAGCTTCATGAGTATAAGACGTCCTAGGAAGTCGGCATTTAACAACAGCCAGTCAAATGGATACTCGTCTTACCATAATTTACATTCATTTGACCCTTAGCGCTGATGATGTGGCTACCCGTCAATTCCTTGATGACAACCTATTCGATCGCATGGCACGCTCTACTCAGAGGTAATTTAACGTGAGCCATTTCTTTTTTCGATTAGCACGTGTGTACACCGTCCAAATTAGACACGATATAGTTAAACTAGCCTGCCTATTTAATTGTCAAGTTCTGACCCAAAGTTTGTTCACAGAAAGAGGTCAAGCGACTTACGCTTTTAACTGTAACCGTATATCTAACACAGAATCGAGCAGTTAAGCAAGCAGATAACGCCAACGTCACATTTACTGTCCCAAGTGTGGCGCGAGGCCGTACAACCACCTTGCTTAGAGTTTTCGAGTCGGGCTTGTGAAAACCAGATGTTAGCACCAGCGATCGCGGCAATCGAGAAGGTAGCGCCAAAGACCAGGTGAGTCCGAATTGGCTAATTTGAGACACTGAAAATCGGTCACATTCGATCAGAAATGATCGGAATTGAATCGGCTTTGCCTGGACACGTTCGATAGTCACAAACATTTCTTAAGTTCCGGGGTACAGAGTGTGACATTGACTTTCAGCGTGACTGCAAGCTAACGATGTAGTTAACAACAACTGACCAGACCCATGCCTCTCTAATTCTTATATAAAATTATCTCCATGGCCAGATAATATTCAGGAGAAGCAGTGGGTTAACATATGCTTCATCTGTTTCTGCTCAGTAAAAGGGTTTTCATATAAATCAGTATAGGCTTTCAGCAAAGCTGTACGTGTTGCGAAGGGTCCTCTCGGATTCTCTGATCCATCCACGATGGTAATCTCAAATGTAGAATAGTTTCGGCTATAAAAAAACTAGCCGTAGACGTCATACACATGCAGAATTCCTACAGTTTTCATGTTACGCATCAAAGATCGGGCGGTTGTGCGGTACGACTTCAAATCCGATAGGCTTTCTAGGCTCGCCAAACGCAGTTTTACTGGAACCCGCTGAGCGCGTTCAGTGGTTGAATTATGTCATCGCGGCGCATCTCGTCGAGTGCAAGTTTATTGTAGGTCATAAAGGAGTGTATATAATTGATAAATAACAGAATAATCGGAATCGTTAAATGCAAAATGTTTGGCTAACTTTATTCTAGGTATGATGGGCACTCTGCTAAGTTTAGAAAGCGTCTCTCTATACGTTAGTCAGCTCGCTTAGGACTAGTGTTTTTTCTGCTTGCATTTCCAGGTTTGAAGCTCCACCACTCTATACGCCACTGTTTAGCGATGCCCTCATTCCTCAAAAGACTTCATTGTCTACAATCCACACCCCACCGGATACTGAACGTTGTCCGGGAAGGTTATTTTCTGTTGATATGAGCTTTCGTGATTTACGAGTACTTGCTACAAGACGAAATTAGACAAAATAAGCTTATTGACTTAGCTAAAATCAGGTCGAATTTTAATCTTTGTCAACCCAAAGTGTTCTACTTGCCGTCTTCTAACTACTAATTACGACAATGTGTTGTGTAAGCTAGCGTAAAAATGGCCATGTACATCTTTTGTAAAGTGTATTTGAAATATTGGCCAGTCAACTTGTTAGAAGACCACAGTAGACACATTTCCAAGAGGTGTTGATCTATCAAACGACCACTTAAGAAGCCCTATGGGCAGAACCAAGTAGAACATATAAAGTTATTAATTTAACCACATCATTACGCCATGTGGTAACTAACTAGAATATAGTGCCATATAGCGTTATTGTCGTTATTGATGACAATTTAGAAATTTTCGTAACGCAAAATCAAAGCTTCACTAGCGTCTTGTTTAATCGAACTCTATTTCAGACGACTGTTCGACGACGCGTCAACAAACACACCCCCCCACGATACCGCTATCCTCACTGCCAGCCCCACTTCATGAATCCATTCCTGGAAAAGTAAACACATCAGAAGGTCAACGATTATGGTGGTAGGCACCCACGAACTAATCCTACACCGATTCATTAAATATCCGGAGTGATATTTCTTTATATGTTAATTAATAGAGTGACTGAAATTCGTCTGAATGAATCTAAACGACTGCATTGATAGACAATTGGCTTTCACAACAAAACGCGGCCTGCTTATGCCCGGATTTGAGCCCACGTCATCTTCACTGTATGGACAAGTACATTATCACCACGCTATTAGACGGAACCAGAAAACCGAAATCTACGACATAACAACGAAGGGACACAAGCAGACGATTTTTCAGCTTGTGCAAAAACACTCTACTCTGGTACAAGGTCACATGTAGCTTTAAATGCAGTTCATTCGTATTACTCAAAGTTACACAGTCCCATTGCTAAGTGGAAAAGCCCGTATATGCCTTTTGTTAGTACTACTATTATTAGCATAAAATTGTTCCAACTACTTCGATTGTTATGATTAGGTAGATATTCCCACGATCACTTCAATCTTTTGCCGTTTAGTGGAACCTGGAAAATAGATTGTTATTAAGTAACTGACTCCGCTAATGATCCTTTGTCAGACAGGTGCGAGCACGCGATCATTTGGAAGTAACTCCCTAGGTGCATTACCATGGTCTCTTCAGAACGCCAACACCTGACAACATCCCGAGCCGATTAATCTTTTAAACTCTTGAAAAATCATTCTTAACATATAACGGTAGCGAGTTATTACATTTTGCGTTCTTATTTTTTAACCTATGCCGCCTTTTTTTTAAAGTATACTTGCGTACTTTAAATCATTGTGCTGGTAATTCTGAATTATGTTCACTGTAGGATATTTGCAAGCGTTTTTGTTGAGTAGTGGTCAAAACATAGGAGGTGCTCCAGTATACACTTGTCGGTTATGGCTTAGGCAGTGCACGAACTGGCATCCACATCAAACTATACCGATGTCAAGCTTCGTCGGCCTTTTCCCTCTAGTGATGAGTCTGAATAGAAAGATGCTTCAAGTCTTTTCAAGTACGCCTATCTGTTATGCGACCTGTTCACTGTCAACGGCGTTCAATTTCACGTCCGTGCGGCACGCAACTTCGATCTTCTTGTTCTTTCAACTTTGACTTGTAGTTGACATAGATTTGGCCTTTTTTTTTACGGCGTGCGCGTTACCGTACCATATCCCGTTCAGTTACGTCTCAGCCCACTAGTGGACGGATTGAAAACTGACCCGTCGGAAAAAAGTTCGTATTTGGGTTGCAAAAATGGTACAGCTTCGAAGGAGTGTAAAGGAGCCAGTAACCTTGTTTACATTGACAATTGCAATAGTTGTATGTTTACGACTTATGTTTCTAAATAGTAGGACCTGTGCTGCCATCTAGTTGGCCGGCAGTTAGATAATGTCTCGCTCTGAAACTGACTCATTATAAAAATCGCGTCCATCTTTCGACGATCTCAGTTCCTAAATATATAAGATCGATATGCTAGAAAATAAAATCTAACAAATAACCTTTTCAATTGATTTCAATGGCAGCCAACAATATTTGCTATTATCTATTACATTCTACCCACGTTTATGTTAAAACTTTTGCTAGAGAATAATGTCGCCGGTTTGTTATGCCTCGTTTCGTACGATTTAGCTACGGCTTGAAACGCTGTTATCTCACCTGTAATTACGTTGAGCGTATTCAACACGCTCAACGTTCAATGTTTAGTAAATGAAATATTTTTCATTCTGATTCTATTATTACATACAAGCGCGTACTATGAATTTTGGGGTTACAAAAGCTTATTAGAAAAACTACGTTTTATATGTACTTGGCTAGAAAGCAAAGATTGAATCGTATCAGCATAATCTTAGATGAAGACAATTGTCACATCTTAGAGATCTTGGTTAGGCTGGAATCACGTAACCTAGCTTGAAACCACCAGCATTGAGGCACTGGCCGCCCCCATGAGAACACAACATACTATGCCATTTGAAAAATCTTTTTTCTTCAGCTTCCCTTCATGGTAAAAAGATTTTCTACAAGCATGCAGATACGAAAATTTCACAAGCGCAATCAGAGTATCAAACCTAGATCGCTTTTTTTTCCGGGAACTGCTGCAAATATGAGACCATTGGTCAACAGCAGTATCGGACTTAAAACTCGAAATATTTATTCATAGAGATTTATAATTTTCCTCAAAATTTAGGTTGACCATCGTAAGTAGCCCACTTTCTTTCGACCCCAGAAAAGTGGTTCGCCTTTTTTTATCCTGACTAGCGGGATCGATACAATGTATTTAAGTTTGTCGATTTATTACAAAATATTGGCAATAAATGTCAGCAAGATCACTTGTAATGAAAAGCTTCATTCGTTGGTTGTCCGTTAGATAAATTTGCCTTGCCATTAAACTAACGGCGTTTCCTTTATGTTCACGATAATGTTTTTCATTGTATACTAATTTCACAATTAAGCAAACCAATAATAAAAATAAGTAGGCCTAACCCAAGAGTCATTAATACCAGCTAATAAACACGGCGTCAAACTAACAAGCAACAGAAATCTTTTTGGTACGCGGTTTTTGGGATCTTGATGACTTTTCGGTTACCGCGCCAAAATTTAAAAGGCATCGTCGCAAATGCATTATTTACCCATCTTTGCGGTTTTAAGCAAATCTCTCGCCCGGATTTTGTGGTAACCACTAAAATTTGGCTCGCTGTAGTATGCTACATCTATGAGCTTACCACCCGAAGATAAACAAATCGAAAATAGCGTAAAGAAAAGTTTATATATATATGATAACTTTTCTTTACGCTATTTTTTTTTTTAAATAATATATAATTAATTTTTGTAACAGAACATGTTAAATAGATACCGACGCCTCTTATATATGATGCTTAATAATAATAGTACTACTATTATTGTGGTTGTTGATTTTTCTGTGGTGTGAATACAGCCGGCTTCAGGCACTTGCCATATGTCCAACTTGGCCTTTCGGTGTTTGATTCGTAGGCTTATAGTAAATTTTTAAGTTGCTCTTTTTTCCAGTGCAAATCGCTTCGCGTTAAATGAACCGATATGGGACAACTAAGCTGATTAGGTCGAAAAAAAAGCGGCGTTACTTCCATTACATGAAGGCAACAAGAAATTGGTTAAAGTTTTACATTTTCCGATTATGTTTCTGCAAGATAATTTACATTAATAACTGAACTAATGGGTCGACACGTAATCTACTACCTTCTCTAATATTTACTTTGTATGAAGATCAATTTGCGATGTTACGCGTGGCTGCGAAGGAACGGTTTGGGTTGTACGTTCGTAGTATTATAGTACACTCATAGAGCATTTTAAAACGGTATATCCAGGTCTAGTCCTTCTAGCGTTAAGAAACGTGTCTGGCAGCTAAGTTGTCAATATCTCGTGTGTGCATAATAAAAAATGTGTGTGGGTGATATCGCTACCCAGTCTAATTAGAGAACCCCGCCTACAAATAAGAATGAACTTTGTTAATTAATTTACATACTTTATGAAGACATCGCAAGTCTTCATAAAGTCTTCAAGAACCTGAAACAGTACAATGCGCCTCTTTGTGGGTCCGTCACATTTGCCCTTTAGTTAAGCTTTAAAAACGATCATCGATGCAAATGCACCGTGACATCACATGCTATTCCCCAGTCTGCAGTGTAGGAACGTTCTAAGCAAATGTCATGTGATTTTTATGAGGAACAATCAAGTCGTATACAAAGAAACAAAAAAAAAAACGAGAAAGCTGACCACCAAAGTTTTTCTTACTACTTCGGTTGTGCCAGCGGAACTGTAAACGAGCACAAAGTTCACATAAGTATTTTCCTGAACATGGATACGTTTAGATACAGGTCACGGGTTGAAATTAACAAATGTTATACATTGAGAGATAAAGCTAGTTTTCGTGTCAGCAGCTTGTAGTTAATCAAAACCTTCTTAGCAATATGCCAGCAATTGATTCCAGAGCTACAGGCTCATTTACAATTAGGCTATGCCGCAGGATAAATTAAGTTCTCAGAATAAATTGGCTAAACTAACAAGTTCTGTTATTTTTTAATTAATTTTGCCACGAACGATGAAAAGAAGATAGGTTTTTTCTTAGCAAGGTAAAGATAGCTGATGATATGTCTTTATGCTTATGTAGCAATGATTGGACGATGGGTTAGGAAGCCGGAATCCTAGAAAAAGACTGATTCAAATATGAATCCTGCGCCTGAACATGGCTGCCTGATTACATAAGTAGTGAAATCCCCGCTGTACTGATTACCTCAACAGGCACAGAAGCCGTATGCCTTGTAAGATCCTCTATGCAGAACCCACCTTCCTTCTGTACTTTCTCCGACTAAGATATCATGATAAATTAAAACACGGAACCTAGTAGCCTAGGATTTCGAGTACACTGCTGTTTGAACGTAATTACAAATTAGAGCATTTTGTTAATACAATTCGTAATAGTACCGGCGTACTACTAAAATTACTTATTCCAAAATACGAGTATACAATATATAGCTTTTGTTTATTTTGTTGACTCAACTTGGAAATGCTCAATTATTGTTATAGGAACTTGTTTACGTGGTTCCGATACTATTTAGGTCTAACAGCTGCTAAAGTTGTCTTAGTTCTTTCTTTTTACTATCGCTTACACCGTTATAAAGGATGTATATCTTTCAATTAAGATTTTTTTAATTAATAAAATATATAATCGACCGTTTGTGTTTATATAGGAAAAATGTTTATTTATTGTATATTAAGAAAAATTATTACATTGCTATATAAAGGCAAGCGCTCACACTAAACATCAATCAATAACTAAGTATAAACAAGTATATGGATATATTTGTTAGAAATCAGCCAACTAAAATTAGGTGACCTATTATTACTACTCATAACTGGTTCAATAGAAAAATATGATCGCCAAAGCTATGACTAAAAAGGCTTGGGGAAATATTCAAGCAGAAAAGTAAGGGTTTCTGTGTAAAAGGCCCTAAAGTGATTTCGATGCATGTTTCTGCATAATTCGTTCTTTTTATAGAAACAGATCAATTTTTATATTTTAGTAAAACGGGACATAGGCCTCTTTGCACAAAGACCTTTCATATAAAGGCGGAAACAAGCAAATATGAAATAAAGAGATTGACGTTAAATAAATTTAACCGTCTAGATTTATTTGGCAGTCTATGTAAACCATCCTTGTGTCCTTTTTGTGTCTAAGGGAACGCATAGCATCTTATTATCAAGTTGCCATTGGCCTGATATATTTGCTGTATCAGGTTAACATGTGTCTAATGTTATCTCATATACTCTTCCTTTCTCTCCATTTTTAGGCAGGTGGGAGCTGCTGCAATGTCATAGCTTATTTATAGTTCTGTAATTTTTTCTACAACGCGTCCTTTAGGGATATTAATGCGCCTTGAGCAAGCGTCATTCATATTCAACCAACGTTTAGTGCCCATTTTCCTTGCCACCACCCTCCGCCCCGCTGTTTATCACTACCTGGTTCTTACGATACGGGCGCACAAAATATCTCAGGGCCAATTTTATATGTGTTTTTAGTGCGTGTAATTATAACAACTTGTATTTCTATTTAAAATGAATTTTTAACCCTATATACCAGCAGTCATTATGTCAAACATAGTTGTAAGCCTTGCAAACAACTCGTTCGCTCTTTATGTCTTTCTTCGCTAATACCAGATGTATAAATACTTTAAAACAGCTCAAACAGCTAAAAGCGAATCAAGCAAACGTACCGTTATGT